GCTGGCTGATCCTGTGCAGGAGGACATGTCAAGGAAAGGCAGCTTTCCTTCCCACTGCCAACCTCCCTGTGTCCGAGAAAAGGGAACCCCAGACGGGAAAACCAACCGCAGGGAGCATACAGAGGAAATGCCTCAAGGGAACATCACTGAGGGAGCAGGAGGGTGGCTTCTAAGCCCCCAAATCTGCCACCAACGAGTGTGGCTTTGGGCAAGTCACTTCACCCCTCTGTGCCTCTCCTTTCTCATCTTCAAAATGGTGAGACAATAGAGTAGTTTAAGGGCAGGGGGGTTCTGACATCGGATGACTTGATTTTGAATCTCCGTTCTACCACTTACTGGCAGCAACTACTTAGATTTTTGACCATGGCCCACTTATACAAACTCTGTGGGCCTCAGGATTCTCGCTGGTGAAATGAATAATCACAGTGTCTACTTGGGGCACCTGGCCGGCTCAGTCGGGAGAGCATGCGACTTTTGATCTCGGGGTCATGAGTTTGAGCCCCACGTTGGGGATAGAGTTTACTTAAAAACAAAAACAAAACAGTGTCTACTTCATAGAGTTGTTGTGTTAAGATAGCTATTTTATATTTAATATATATCTTTATATATTTGAGGCAATGCCCAGCACTTAGCAAGTGAGTTATTATTATTGTAATGTTTGCCTTTTTTAAAATAATAAAGGGCTGCTCTCCAGGCCTCCCGAGGTTTTGGTGAGGATCCCCTGACATCTTGAATAAAAAAGCAGGGAGGAATTCAGTAGGTAGCTGGTCTTTTTGACCTTTTTTTGTTTTCGAAACTGACAGGAAATTCCTTCATTCTCCAACGGTGCCCGCCACCCAGCCACGCGCCCCAGCTGACTGCTTTCCATGACAAAAGGGCCTCATTGGCGACCGGTTCTCTACCCCAGAAACCAGCAAATCCCTGCCTCAGGTAAACCACTGGGAGTTTCTTCTTGCTTAACAATCTCAAGGTTTAGCTACTACAGAAAACAAGAACCAGTTAGACGCTGCACACTTAGACTTTTTCCAAGTTCTGGGCGGTAGCAGGGAGGGAGAGAAGCACAGTTTCAGTGACATTCCTCATGGCCAGAGCTTGACCCAGTTTGCCCTGGGACTTGACAGCGCCCTGGGGAGCTGGAGAAGTTGGGGTGCAAAGGCTCGTAGTTCTCGAAGCCTCTGGGTGCCCCCTTTCCTAGGTTTAAGAATGGGATAAAAAGGGGGGGACCTAGGTGACTCAGTTGGTGAAGCATGTGGCTCTTGATCTCAGCTCAGGTCTTGATCTCAGGGCCGTGAGTTCAAGCCCTGCCTTGGGCTCTGGGCTGGGTGTGGAGCCTACTTAAAAAAAAAAATGGGATAAAGGTTCTCAAAGTACTGAGAAGGAAACCTGAATCCGGTTTATTAGTTTTTAAAATTCTTCTCTGCCTCTGTTTTATTCTGGAAGGTACATGAGATTCTAGAAGGCGTAGAAAGTAGCTGTAGATCCCAAATGGCCTCAGCCTGGGCTGCAACTCGCCATCAGCCCCTGGTCCCCGGCCACCCCAGAGAATGAAGGGCACTCATCTATATGCCTCGGGAGCACATCTTTCCCTCTGCACTGTCCTGAACAACGGAAAGTGAAATCTCGCGCAGATCCAGAATTTCTGACCTGGTTCCCAGGCAGAAAGTGTCACAGATGCAGGAAATTGGTGCCAATTGGGAGGGCTGGTGCAGACTTTGACCTGGAAACATCACCCACACAGGCAGCTTCGTCCCTCTGCCTCCCTCCCATGCCCAGCAGGAGGCAGCTCCCTGATGGAGACTGGTCCTGCGAGTGGAGACCGAGTCACCCTGCTGCCCTCTCTAGTGGTTCAGCGGGAGATTGAAAGGGATTCTTGTCTTCGCCTTTGTTCTCATAAACGCCATTGTTCTGGCATTTAGTATCAACCACTCAGATCTAGATACTTCCAAACACAGGTTACTCAAGTTCTTTTTACATGTCCTTTCCAAGAAATCCCTCTGCCTGTCCCCATCCCCCTCCCACCCCACCCGGCCGCCCGTGCCAAAAAAGTAACCCAGGTAATTTATTGTTGGTAAATACTACTCCAGCCTAGGTCTCTGTTAATAGAAATAAACAGATGCCAAGAAGGAAGCTACCATAAGAATCTATAATCAGCAACTCAAATATTGAAGGAAATCGACCTCCAGTGTGACAGGGCAAACCGGTGGATCTGTTTTGAGAAATGCCTCAGTTGCCAGCCTGCTCCAGCTCACAGCTGATTTTCCTTAGGGCAAAAGGCATCTCATAGGACAGAAACTGTCCTATACCAGAAACCCAGTGGCCCAATTCATTCAGGGCTCAACAACGCCCTAGCACTTAGGACTTTGTGTGGGGGAGTAAGGAAGCAGCTTTCCTTGTTGGCAAATTGTGGGTCAGTCTAGATCAGTGCTTCTCCACCAGGATTGATTTTGTCCCACCCCACCCCATCCAAGGACATTTGTCATTGTCTGGAGATACTTTTGGTTGTCACATGTGGCCTGGACCAGGAGGAGAGGTGGTGCTTCGAGTATCTAATGGGTAGAGACCAGGGATGCTGACAATCCTGTGATGCACAGGGTAGCCTCTCCAACCCATTACCCAGCCCCAAATATCACAAATTTCTAGGCTGAGGCCTAGAAACTCTAGTCTAGAAACCTCAACTTTCAGGTTTCTTCTAGGAGCCCAGTTCAATGGTTTCCTCCCTATTTCCTTAGAACTAATGGGCCGCCTGCAACCCAAGGCTGCAGAGCCCCACCCGAGGACTGCTGCCAGCTGGTTGAGACGTTCCAGCACCATTTCATTCTGGAACAGAAATTGTCTGTGCACTTTGATCTAAGACAGAACTGTTACTCTGCTAAAAATCATTAAAATGCTCACAGGCCTATAGACCATCCTCAAGGAGTAACCGTTTGGTTCCAGCCTTTCGGATGTGGGCAGGTGGGACAAATCCAACAAAAAACCATTTGCTTTCACTCTCAACAAAGTCCCTATATAGTGGCTTCAGTGTCAGGCCGCTCACACCTCTATTCCTTTAGAAGAAAGAAGCTCAAGACAGAAAAACAGAAATGCTTAAAAGTGGCCAAAAATCATCCCACTTAAGAGTTTATTTCATGTGATTCTCAGCATGCAGTGTACTTTCTGGGGAAAAAAATTTTTGTCCCCGTTCACATTATAAATTAATTTACAAATATAGAATTGTGTTAGAAACAATATTTATAAAAGTCCATAACGATTTTTCACATAGAAAAATATCCATAGAAACTGGTTTTTGTACACACAATTTGGGGGTAGGTAGTCTCTTTGGTTGTCTTTCTCCATAATATTTAAAAAGTAATGGTGATGTTGTTATTTATACTCAGTAAACTGTTTAAAAAATAATTTTCTGTATTGTATATTTCAAAATAAAAATTTAAGAGTAATGCTGTGAGTCTCAGAAAAGAATATACAGGGAAAAGTTAAAAATTTTTAAAAATGGGTGTTCCTTTTTCTAAAAAAAATTAAATCCCCAAACCAACAATGTCCCTATCAAAGACCCAACAACATGGTACAAAGGCAATTCAGGGCATTATGTTCATCTTAATGGAGGCTGTTCCAATAAATCAACAATTATCCACATTTTAATTAGCACCTCTTATATTAAGTTCAAACAGTGGCTGAGTATCTGCCATGGACCAGACACTCTGCTGGGCCCTGGGAGGGTGACCATATACACTATTCAAATGAAGATACGTCTTGAGAAATAAAAGGGAGCGCTAAAAATAAAAATTTTGACAACAAATGGTTTATTAAGAAACTATAAAAATTCCACTTAAAAACTATTTTTAATTAAATTCTAATATTTTGTTTTAAAAAATGGAAAATCCAGGACACATGCTAAAAGGGCTAAGACATCAAGTTAACGAGGACCATGGTCACCCCGGACCTCAGGCGTATGGCAGCAGAATGCAGACGTGGTGTCTGTCCTGTTGCTCAGGGCAACATCTCAAGTGATAATTTCAATCAGAAATCTTTGGTCAAATGAGATCGAGTTCATTCCTACCCCCTAGACGCTATGTCTGCCTATGGACAATGGCACCTTCGTCTGTCAGGACCACAACAGATCTTCCAGCACCAGTTCTGGAACCAGACTGCCTGGACCCGATCCTGGCTCCACACCTTACCATCTGTGTGACCTTGGGGGAGACACCTGACATCCTGGAGTTACACTGCCCTCACACAGAAGATGAGGGGTAGTAACCATACCTATCTCCCAAGGTTGTTGTGAGGATTAAATGACCTAATACACGTCGAGTGTCTGTCTGAAATAGCGCTCGGCACCCAGGGCTTGCTTCGGCAGTTTCGCCGCTGTGAGTATCTACCATGGCCCAACATGCAGCCTAAGCAGAGGTGATGTGTGAGCCAGATACAGCTCAGAGGATTTGTGGTATGTCCTAGTGCAGGATTTAAAAAAACTTTAATTAGTGGCAAAAAAAAAAAAAAATGCAAATGGAGGTTTCCTATAAAAATCCAGGTATCTGACTTTTCTAGAAAAATCAGGATGCTGCCAGGCAGGAAATTAACTAAACGGCCCATAGCAGCCTTTAGCTGGTCAGTCCCGGCCACTCCCTTACCTGCTTCAATGGTCAACCGCTGCCTTTTTCCTACCCGATAAACTTCTTTCTTTCGTTTTTTTGGCTGGCCCTTGGACACATCTGAGCTCAGAACCCTGCTGTACAGTGACGGACAAAACAGACATGGTATGGTCCCTGCCCTCACGGGGCTCACAGGCACTGTCCCGAACAGAGCGAGGTGGCGTTCTCTCCAGAGAAACCTGTAAAAGCTTGCGGGACTGTAGGAAGAGTCATCTACTCTTCCCATCGGGCCACAGGAGCACCTGGGACTCCGGAGGAATGCAGAATGCCACCTGCTGCCCCAGACCTAGGGCCTGGAAATCTGCATTTCACAAGACCTCAGGTGTGCATATTCAAGTCCGAGGGGCGGCTGTCCTAGACCTCGGAGCCCTCGCGGGGGTAGATGAGGCTGTTGACCATGCTGAAGTTGTAGAAGGAGCTGCCGAACGGGCTGCTCTGACCCCCTCCAGTGCTGGCGGGGAAGGGGCTGTAGTAGGAAGACCTCTGGCTGCTGCTGTTGCTGGCGCCGTGACTCAGCGGCACGCTGTCCGGCGGGGCTTCGGGGATGGAGCTGGCGGGGAACGTGCTGCTGGAGGCCAGGGGCGCCCCCTGGATCGCTAGGTGGCGGCCGCCGGGGACAGCCCGCGGGGCGCTCCCGCTGCTGCTGACACTCAGGGTGCTCAGGCTGCTGAAGAAGGTGTTGAGGCAAGGGGCAGAGGTGAGCAGGGATCCTCCCGGGGACGAGGCAGTACTCTTGGTGCCCTCGGGAGGCTCTGGGGACTGCGACGGCCTTAGCAACGCGGAGGGGCTGTCCCCTTCGGGCTTGCCGCCCACGCCCGACCCCAATCCGGAGGCGAGCCCTTCTTCCGATTTTGTGGTCCCTGCAGCCACCGCGGAGGGGCCGCTGGCTTCGGAGCGGCGCTTCCGCTTCCGACGGAAGTTCCCGTTGTCAAACATTTTCTCACAGTTTGGATCCAGGGTCCAGTAATTCCCTTTCCCTATGGAGAGGAGAAAGACACACAAGTTAGAGAAGGACCTAGTTCACGCCTGTGTAGTCAGCTTCAGTTCTGGAACGAAGAGCACAGACGCTCTCGTTAAATGCTGACCAGGATGCTCTGTCCACTCGACGGTTTTTTAAGTTTATCCTCTTGGGGAGATTTTAGTCCTCACCTTCAAGGAGAAATCTGGAACAAAGATGTTCTGGCCATTTCCACGCCCCCCCCCCCCCCCCCCCCCCCGCAGCGTCTGCTACCTAAATCTTAAGACTTACTTCTAGGCCCAAGACACTTTTAATTACCCAACACCCTCCCCTCCAGACCCATATGCTGTGCCCTTGCAAAATCCTGGCGCTGCTTAAATGTGAACCTCCATTTCTTTATTTACAGAAGTAGGCATAAGAATAATACCCATTTCACAGATGGACTGCGAGGGTTAAACGGGGTCTCCGCACAGTAGCTGGCACACCGTAAGCAGTGAAAAATCACTATCCGTTATCATTATTACTTGCTGAAAGGGTACAATATTTGCCCCTAAAACAAAACAAAACAAAACAAACACCACTCCACTGGAGAAGGCAACCTCAAATACCCAATCATTTGTCTTACTAAACAAGAATTACAGAAGTTATTATTGAGCAATCAATTCTTTTAACAACATCTTGTTAAATAACATTGTTCAGGGTACAGGAAGCTCCTGGAGTCTACCTCCCCTCATCACCTTGAGCAGGGGATGCCCTGCATCTCTGGCCATCTTTTCCTGCCCCCTGCAGATCTCAGACCAGAGCCTCAGGTAATGCATGCACTGCCAGTCTTCTGCTTAAACAATTTCCCTCACTACTTAGCACAACGGAGGTAAAAAAGACCTATCATTTTCTCTCAATAGCTTTCATCACTTCTGGTAAATAGAAACCTTCGACGTGTGAAAGCACTGGTAAGCACTCATCTTGTAGGGTGCTTTACACGGACAACTTCAGTTGCTCCTCACAGCTCTGTGGAGACAGGCAATTATTAGTGCCTCCATTTTTCAGATGGGGAAACTTGAGGAGCAGGTTGGTTAGTAACCTGCAGTATTCCCAGTTAGCAATAGGAGAGCCGGGATTTAAGCAGGCTGGCTCTAGACTCAGCATTCTTACCTAACCATTGGGTTCGGCTGCTTGCACAAACTAGCACACACCCCTCCAAACCCATTATCTTCATTAACACATTTTTTGCAAATAGTTGCCAAAAAAATTCTTATTCATACAACTACCAGCTAAATGATAGTACCTGCACCTGTAAGGATATTTATATTGTGCCCCTTAGTACCAAATGCTTTGACAAGACACTAGCTAAAGACTTTTTAGGAAGTCCAAAAGAACATACATGACAATTAACATGATAATCTCAGGTGGTTTAGAGGCCAAATCGGGAAGCTTCATCTTCTAGAACTGTATGCCCTGTCCAATGCAGTAACCACTTGCCACACGTGGCTGTGGGCACTTGAGAAGTGGGTAGTCCAAAATGCCATGTGGAATCAAACACACACAGGGTCTGAAGACTTAATACCAAAAAAGTAAATAAATAAAAAAGTATCTCAGTAATAATTTTTATATTTGCTTTATGTTGAAACAATATTTTGGGTTACTTAAAATATTAAAAATAATTTCATCAGTTTCTTTTTACCTTCTTTAATGTGGCTACTAGAAAATTTGCTATCACCGGTGATTTATACCGTATTTCTATTGGAAAGCACCACTCTAGAATACGTTCCGGGGGGGAACACTCCAGAGCATTTTACACAAACTCCTGGATCTCTGTAGCATGCAAATGAAACCATTTCTTCTCTTTTGCCCATCACACCTCTGTCCCCACCTCCCTGGTTCCAAGAGCCTTCTGAAAACCTCAAGTATAAACGTGTTTCTCTCCTTTTTGAGCTTTTCGTCGCCCCCTTTTCCTCAGGTAGAGGAAAACCACTCACAACACCCCACTGTAATCCAGTCCTCCTCACCCCGAGGGCTTAGATCAGAACGCAGCAAATCTGGGGTTTTCATTTTTACATTTCTAAATAGTTAAGGCACCAAAACCACGATTTGCAGGAGCCGGCTAAAGCTCTCTCATTCCTCTGGCCCTGTCTCATGATGCCCGTGCCACACTCCTCAATCATCTCTCTCCAGGTAGGCGCTTGTTTCATGAAGGAGACCGTGAGTCTTAGGAACCTGGCGCAGGAAGTGCATCCAGGGACAGCTCGAACGGCCTCGGTCTCTCATCACCTCTTCCGTGAAATGTGATGGGATTCTCAGCTCACTTGAATCCCTTTATAGTCGTCCCTTATCTGAGATCCCACGCGTGTACTTATTCCTAATCTATCTCCCTGTGCCTTGAACCCTCCCTCCAATCCGCATGATGACTACCACCCAGGGGTGGCGTCCCGTTTGAAGATACGGTCTTTTTCCTTTTTCTCTAACTGGCCAGGCTGTGCGCGCGCGCGCGCGCGTGTGGGTGGGTGGGTGCAGGTGTGCGTGTGGGTGCGTGGGTGTTAAGGGGCGAGCTCCACCCTCACCTGCTCCCCGCTCTGAGGATCCTCAGATAGTTCTCTTTGTCCTCGGGCTTGCCCTCACCCCAGCCAGACGAGGTCCGAGGTTCGCGTGGTTGTTCCCCACCCGGCTCCCATCCGCAGTTAGAGAAGACTCCGCGCGCAGCTCCAAGCCAGCCCCACCCCGGCGGGGCCCCTGCCCGGGCGCCGCTCCCCCACCCTCCCCGGCCGGGAAGCACCTGTCCGGCGCCCTCACCTGGGTCGTCCTCGTCGCGGGGCACCTTCTTGAAGCAGTCGTTGAGCGACAGGTTGTGGCGGATGGAGTTCTGCCAGCCGGCCTTGCTGCGCTGGTAGAAGGGGAAGCTGTCGGCCACGAACTGGTAGATGTGACTGAGCGTGAGCTTGCGCTCGGGCGCGCTCTGAATGGCCATGGCGATGAGCGCCGAGTATGAGTAGGGCGGCCGCACCATCTTCATCAGGTCCTCGCGGCTGGCCATGGACAGCCAGCCCAGCTCGCCCGGCGCGGCGGGCCCCGCGGGCGAGGCGGGCGCTGCGGGCGCGGGCTGCGCGAAGGCCCGCTGCGCGCAGCCGAAGGTGCCGGCGGCGGGGGGCGGCTGCAGGAAGGGCCCGGCGGCGCCCCCGGGGGGCGGTGGCGGCGGCGGGGCGCCCAGGTACGCGGCGGCGGCGGGAGGGCCGCCCACGCCCGGCCCATTGAGCCACAGGTAGGGATTGGCGGCGGCGGCGGGCGGCGCGGCGTAGTCTGCCAGCCCGTAGGGCGCCCTGGCGGCCGGGGGGGCGCCCGGGGCGGCGGCGGCGGCGGCGGGCGGGGGCAGGCCGGGCTGCGAGTACACGCCGAAGTTGTCGCCGCAGTAGAGAGCCATGTCGGGGGCCGTCGGCGGGTGCGGCGCGGCAGCCGCGGCGAGGGGCGAGCGGGGCTGGTCTCGCCGCTCGGGCGAGAGCATCCCTTTGGGGGCCCACCCCGCGGCCCCGCCTCGGCCCTCGCTGGGCTACCGGTGCTCGGGCAGGGGATCGGCGACGGCGCGCGGAACGCCTGCGATTCGGCTTCTTATAACCGTCTGCGGCGCGGCTCCTCCCGGGCCGGCCCGGGGCTGGGCGGCGGCCCGCGGGCCCGGGCTCTCCACGCCCCCGCCACGCCCCACCTGCCCGCGCCACCCGGCGGAGCGCGCCCCAGCCCTCGCGCCGCCCGCCCCGCCCCGCCCCGCCCCGCCCCGCCCCCGGAGCCCCCCGGAGCCCCCCGGAGCCCCCCGACGCCCCTCCTCGGCCGGGCCGGAGCCCGGCGGCGCGGGCGGGAGGCCGGCGCAGGCCGGCGCCTCCAGGTTGAAGTCTAAAAGCACCTCATTCCCAGCCGACGCGGTCTTAGCCCGGGAAGAGAAATAAAAACAACGAATATTGAAACCGAGAGAAGATAACCCAAACACTACAACTGTTTTCTAAAAAGTCCCCAAGATGAGTTTGGGTGGCCGCTCAGACCACCTGCCTAACCCCCTGGGGTTTCCTCCCTCAAGCTTCGGCACCTTTTGTCATTGAGTTACTGGATTCACGGCCAGTCTCAATACATCGGCTTCTAGCCGAAAATAATAGACGCGGTGAACAACTCTTTGGGGGTATACGGTAGATTTTATTACCGGGCATCCTTGGAGTGTCCCCTTCTCCCTAGGGGATTCTGTGATGGGAGGGACTGAAATCGGTTTTTAATTTTTCTAACCGTGTCTCTAAACACATAACTATATGTTCGTTCACATTCGGGAAGTATTTGTTCATTTTAAGTCCGGTTTGTGTAGTCTTTTGGTGTGATTTGTTTTCTTCAAAAACAGAAGGGTGTGTGTTTTCAGAGACATTTAAATAAGTGGGTTCGGAATTAGCATTTTAAAGCCAACTGTAATTTAAACTGTGCCAGAAGCGCTCGTTTACAAAAATGGTCTCAACGAATTATGGCATAGGACTTGCTTTCTACTTCTCTAAGTTTTGAAACGCGGTTCCTGCCTGGAAAAACAAGCGAAACAGGTAAAATACTGTGGCGATCCCGCGTGCCCCGCAATCATTAATCGCTCCGAACAACAGTAAGAAAATTGTTTCCTTTACAATTAAAATTATTCCTAAGTATGTTCTTAACAGGTGACAAGTCTGAGATTCTCACTTAAGGGAGAGGGGAGGGAAGAAAGCGCTTTTCTGTTTGCCAATTGCAGACGGACAGTTGAGAATATTTAATAATTTAATAATCCACCCCCCTCCACCCCGCATTTATTTCATGATTAGTTATGTATTTTACAGAAAACTATCATCTTCTGTTATCTCGCTTCTTAAAAAATGACATCCAGGGTTATTTGACTAGTAAATCGTGATACCGAAAATGCAAACCACAATTCAAAAGTAACTATTTTTTCTCATCTTTTCTGGAAGCAGAAAAGAATTATTCTCACCCCAAAATTTAGTGCCCTGTTTCTTTCAATCTCTTGGCAAATGCTATAGAATGGAATAGTGTTTAATTGTATTTTGATTTAAGGATATAATTTTTTCTTAATGTAGATAAGCACAGTGTTGTGTGTGTGTGTGTGTGTTTTTCCTTCCCAAATAGTCTCAGAGTTGTTTTGTGACTTCTCTTGGGATGTTAATAAAGATGACAAGTATAACCCAGGAAATTTGGAAGTAATTTTTGAATTAGTTAAAATGCCCCAATTTAATGTTTGTTCTTAAGTTTAAAGGTCTAAACAGAAGAGAGAAAGTCCAAAATAAAAACTAGGAACCAAGATAGCAGTAAATTAGAAAACTTTTGAAGCCATCTCCCCTTTTGTAATTGATGTCCTTACACCTATCATACCTTCCCTTATTTTTTAACAAATTGCTTACGTCTACATACTTGGCAGTTTTGCAGGGTTGTTGTTGTTGTTGTTGAATTCTTAGCCCAATAGCTCCAAATTATTCTGAGTAAGAGGCCATGATTGCAGATTATTTCTTCCTTTGATTAAAGGTCCTGCCTACTAGTGATATTTTGTTCCTTAACCATGTATTCTCTTTTGCGGACTTTAGTTTTACTTAAAAATGACAGAGCCACCTAGCGGCTCTTTGCCTCTGTTACAGCAGACATCTGGCAGGGATCTGTAAGGTGGACACCCCCTCTAGGGGTTTGGAAGTTTTACTTTTCTGTTTTCAATCACATCTTAATTAGATGAGTTTAAAACTATTATTGGTCATGGCCTGGGGTTTTTTAATGTCAAAGTTAAAATAATTTTTAATCCCTATTTTTTTTTAAAGATTTATTTGAGAGAGCGTGGGGGAGGGGCAGAGAGAGAGGGAGAATCTCAAGCAGATACCTGCTGAGCCCGAGTCCCACTCGACTCGGGGCTCAATCCCATGACCCATGAGATCATGACCTGAGCCGAAACCAGGAGTGGGAGGCTTAACCGACTGAGCCACCCCGGTGCCCCAATACCTATTTTTTTTTTAATTAAATTTTAAAAGCATTCCGTGCCCTTAAAAAAAAATCAACAGGATAAAAAATGTGCTTGAGGGCGCCTGGGTAGCTCAGTCATTAAACGTCTGCCTTCGGCTCAGGTCATGATCCCAGGGTCCTGGGATCAAGCCCCGCATCGGGCTCCCTGCTCTGCGGAAGCCTGCTTCTCCCTCTCCCACTTCCCCTGCTGTGTTCCCTCTCTCGCTGCATCTCTCTCTGTCAAATAAATAAATAAATAAATAAATAAATAAACAAACAAATAAATAAATAAATAAAAATCTAAAAAAAAAATGTGCTTGAAATGCAAGTTCCCCATAATAACATTTTGTCAAATTGCCTTTTCGCAAAAAGATATAGTCAAGGCAATTGATTAATGCTTCTATGCCAATGTAAAATAGGGAGGCTATTACATGTTTTTGTCACTAGAAAATAAAACGTTTGGGGAAAATATGATAAAAGGTAAACAAACTCTTGTGCCAGTGGAAATGAAAAAGGAACCAGGGGAGGTGAGCAAAGAATTCGAGAAAACTCATATTATAATTAGAGAATACAGTTTTGGGAATCATGGAGGGAGGATAATGCTACCACATAAGCCAAAATACAGAAGATTAATTAATGCATTTATTATTTTGGTGATTTAAGAAAAGATGTTGAGGGACGCCTGGGTGGCTTAGTCGGTGAAGCGTCTGCCTCCGGTTCAGGTCATGATCTCAGGGTCCTGGGATGGAGTCTCGAGTCAGGCTCCCTGCTCAGCAAGGAGCCTGCTTCTTCCTCTCCCTCTGCCTGCCACTCCCCCTGCTTGTGTTTTCTCTCTCTCTCTCTCTCTGTCAAATAAATAAATAAAATCTTAGAAAGAGAGAAAGAAAGAAAGAAGAAAGATGTTGAGACAACTGGAGCTGGACCTGCTATCTCATTTTTTTTTTTTTTTTTGCTATCTCATTTTTTACTTGCTGTCATTTTTTTTCCAACTTCTGAGTCCTTAATTAGTTCCAATTTTATTTTATTTTTTAGGGGGTGGGGGAGGACAGAGGGAGGGAGAGAGAATCTTAAGTAGGCTCCACACCCAGCAGAGAGCCTGACTCCATGTGGGGCTCTATCTCACAACCCTGAGATCATGACCTAAGCTGAAATCAAGAGTCAGACCCTTAACCGACTGAGCCACCCAGGCACCCCTAGGTTAGTATCATTAGTCGGAAGGCACCCTGGAGAGCCTGTCCTCTCCTCTCCAGTCCATACCTTAAAGGCTGGGACCGACAGATGGAAACAGAACCCAGAGAGACCATTCATTTGCTCCTTTAACAGATATTTAGGGCTCTACTTACTGACTCTTAAGTGTTAGTGGGAAATCGAGGCAGCTCTCCTCTTCCAGGAGGACAAGCGTTCCACCAACTTTGAGATTTGTCTTCTGTTCCAAGAATATTTTTCTCTTTGTAAGCCCTTTAAGTTGACATTGGCCAAATTGCCCCTGCTAGTCACCCCACTGGGCCACCTCGGAGTCAGGGAAGACTGGAGTGAGTTACAAATACAGAATGGGGCAAAAATCCAGCCCTGGGAGGCTCAGAAGCAGGTGTATGACCCAGGGACCACCTAGCCACGTGTTGGCTGGCTGACCCCCAAGGCTCAAGCCCCTCTTCCCCAAACATTACACATAGGAATTGTAACAAAAAAGAATGAATCCTAAGGATTCTAGAAGCCTAAAGATTCTGAAGATACTGCAGAAGTCCATGTACTTAATGCAGAAAAATAAGAGACAAACCTATCAGCCCAAGCAGTGGTGCTCCAACAATTCCTTTGAGCAAAGTTATTAATATGTGTCTCCTCTGCTTGAACCCTACACCTCTTCCCACTGCCTCACTCTCCCCTCCCCAGTTCTCTGGAATGCTTCCTGGCCTCTGGCTGGTGCTGGTTAGTCCCATTCTTGAGCTTCCTCAGCTAACTTCTCAGACTCCTCCTGCCCCAGACCAGGCTCCCAGAGTGCCTGCCACACTTGACTGTCCTTACAGAGCCTGCCTGCGCTGAATGCATTCTGGCTCCCCCAGGATCCTCCTGAGGAGTCCTGAGGCCATCTAGACTGAAGGCCGCGCTCCCCTCCCCCTCCCCGCCACTCTTCCCTCCTGGGGGCCCGAGGGCTCTCAAGCCCTGCTCTCACACGTTGGCCTGGGTAGCTCATCCAACTCCCTGGCCCCTCATTTCCAATAACCCAACTCCTCCTCTCCAATTCAGTCACCCACTCTACTGGGTGTTCTGGAGGATGGGGACTGTGTCATTTCTTGCTCCCTTTCTTTGAGCGCTAACAATTAAGGAACATGGACCAAATACCTAACGCTGTGCTAAGCACCTTACATGCATCACTTCATCGACTTCTCACAGCAATCCTGTGAAACGAGAACTGTTAGTCCCTATTTTATG